GAAATTGTAGTTAACAGTAGGGTTGCTAGAGGATGATCTACTTATTTCCTAAGCACTAGGATTTGAATAACCAACATAATCTAATTTCACTGTAGTAGTTCAGTGAAATAGCAATTTAAATTTATATATTTTTTGCCAATTAGACCCCTGAGGTCTTTAATAAAGACTTTGCAGGGAGCTTGCATTATCTAAAGCTAAATTACCTTTTTACATTTAATCTGACACATTCCTCTTAAGGTTGTCTAACAGATGCTGGAACCTTATAACACAGTGTAACAAATGTTTTCATTATGCCGCATGCACAGTGCTTCTCTAATCCTTACACATGAAGTAAAGTCATTGTTATGCTCTATGTGAAAACAGCATACTGGTACTCTGATGGGGCCATAAAATAAACTAGATATCATTGATGGGATATTTTATCGTTTAGATTTGTCATTGGTCAGAGAGTGGTATAGGCATATTTAAAGTCAACATTATATGTTATGGCTCTACCGTTTTATTTGATGACTAAATCGTATGGCTGTATCATTTCCTTAAAGTAGAACTTTACTTTCATTAAACAATATGTGTAATTGCAAGACAAGCCACTTTGTTGAAGATAAATTTACCCTTGCTTCTCAGTGCATAATCAGCTGTGCCTGTGCAATGCTGCCTAAACAAAACTGCAACAAGGCAAATCATACCTTGTCTACAATTACCAAATTGTTGTAGGCCCACATAAGTATATCCCCCCAAAAAAGAAAAAAAGGCAGGTAAGGGGGGTGTTTATTTAATTACCAACTAATTCTTTAATGCTTTAACCTCCTCCTGCCTGTAATCTGTATATTAATATAGGTTTACCCCTGTGAGAACAAAAAGCCAACCTTTTGCAAGGCTGCTAGTGCTTTGTTCTAGCTGTCATTGCTGGGATCCCCACAAATGATCGGGAACCAATGTAATTTTTTAAACTGTTGTAGAAGGATGCATTGCCAATGAACGTCATATTATTATGGTGGTATCATAATATGTAAAATCATAATGGCTCCTACACAATAGCACACAGCAAATCCTGCATTATATATATAAAAAAATTATATGCTTTAGTTCATTAAACAGTATAACAGCCTCTCAGTCAGACATCAACCTTTTTTGACATATCCATGTGCTAGACATGGAGAAAGGCTTACATTGAAACACTTCTGCCGGAGAGGGACGTATTTTGCTTTAATGAGCTTAAAAAATGAATTTTATTTAATATACTGTATATATAAAGATTCCCTATGTGTCCCAGACATTGTAATGCAATAATGCTGGGGGACTGACCTGATAACTATTGGTGTATCAATTATATATAGCATTGCTGCCACTAGATTTAGTAATAATTGCTGCTGCCATAGTATGTAGTATTAATAGTTGTGCTGTGGAGGGATGATATATTATAATGGTGCAGCCGGGGGATGTATTATTGTAATGGTGAAGTGAAGCTGAGGAAAGTAGTACTACAACAGTGTTGGCAGTGGCTATGCTGAATGAATCTACCATAATGTAGGGACAGGCTTAAGACATTTTTTGTTATTACACCCTGCAAAAAGTATTTGTCAACAATCCTTAATTAGTATTAAAGCTAAGTTAGGGTTTTGTTTTCTCAGTAGAATTTTATTATACATTGAGAATAATATTCAAATGAGTTTCATTTTGCCACTAAGGAATTCTGCCTCCAGTAGTGATTTCTCTTCCTCCTTCTTCTATTCCTCTTTATTGCCAAATCCTGCCTTCCCTGATAACATGTCGCCCACCCGGCAGTTCCACATCCGAAACAGCTGCCTGGCATATCGTCCACAATCCTCTCCTGCACATACTGCTCACTTTCATATCCTCCACACTCCTATCCTGCACATACTATTTGCTGTCATACCCTGAACAATATTAAACCTGACATGCTCCTCTCAAATACTATCTGCTCTTGTACCCGCTGCAATTCCCTGCAATCTCCTGAACATGCTACTCATGGTCATAGACTCTGCACTCCTCTCCTGAAAATGCTACCCAAGTTAGAGGCTCTGCACTTCTCTCCTACATGTACTGCTATTGGTCCTACTCTATACACTCCTTTCTTAAATGTACTGCCCACTGTCATACCCTTTGCACTCCTCTCCTGCACATACTGCCTTGTATCATACTTTATACACTCCTCTCCTGCGCATTCTGTCATATATCATAACCTCTGCACTTCTATCCTCCTCATAATGCCTGCTGTCATACCCCTCATGTTCCTCTTGTGCACATACTACTTGCTGAAATATCTTCCACTCTACTCTCCTACACGTAATGTCCATTGTCATACTGTTCAGATTCCTCTCCTGCATATACTGCCTGTTATAGCCTGCAAACGCCTCTCCTGCCCGATATCATACCTTACAAACTCACCTGCTCATTCTGACTGCCACCATACCCTCCACACTCCTCTCCTGCATATAATATCTGCACTCATAACCTCTTCACTCCCGCTCTAAACATTCTACTTACAGCCATAGCCTACGCACTTTTCTTCTGCACATACTGCTTGGTGTTATGCCCTACACCCCCCTCCTGCACATACTGCCTGCTGTAATACTTTTTGCACTCCTAAACACACTGCCCCCATCATACCCTCTACATTTCTTTCTTGCGCTTACTGCCCACTGCTATACCCTACACACTGCTCTCCTGCACATACTGTCTGCCATCATACCCTCTGCATTGCTTTCCTGCAGATACCTCCCAGAGTCATATCCTCCGCACTTCTCTCCTGCACATACTGCCCACTCTTATACCCTCTGCACTCCTCTATTGCACATACTGCTCATCTTCATACCATCCACACCTCTCCTACAAACAATGCCTGCTGCCATACCCTCTGCACTGCTCTACTGCTCATCTTACAAACTAAAAGAGTTCTTTAATGTAATTTCTCCAACCTTGCAAATTCTGGAATGGGAACACAGTTACTATAACGCTGAAATTAATGTTAATAAAGACATTTATCACATTCGGAGATAGGGTTATGTGTAATGGTAGCAGTGGGTGGGGGAAGGGGGGAGGCGGCCAAAAGCCCTGACCTTAAGTTGAACGGACATTTTTAATGGCAGCCCTGCCCATAGACAAAATGTATATTTTTATGTATTAATAGATGTTCAGTTTGCCAGCCTCTCTTCAAGATCATTTTATCACTATATACAGTAGAATTCTATGTCTCCTCTGTGAACTCAAAAACTTATATAACCTTGTCCTGAGAAAAGTATGGGAGCTGCCAAAGCTCTCATCCTCCTGAAAATGCTAATTGCCTGACTGGCTTTAATAGGGGTTAATTGCAGACCCGGAAAAAAGCATGTTGTCAATGAGTGTCAGAGACATTTTGGAATTCCTTCTCTCTGTACATGTTTTGAGTAAGTTTTTGAGTCAGTAAATCAGCACACTCTGATTTTGTTAGCATCCGCATGACAGCCAAGGAACTAGCATTCTCAAGAGCTCAGCAATGGCAACCTACATAATTTATGTCTGGTGTACTTTAACCAGTTGACATCCGCGGTGTTAAACCCCCTTCCCATCCAGGCCATTTTTCAGTATTCAGCGCTGCGGTACTTTGACTGACATTTATTCCGTCATGCAGCGCTGTACTGAAATGAATTTTATACCCTTTTTTGGGGACAGATAGAGCTTTCTTTTGGTGGTATTTATTTACCACTGGGGTTTTTATTTTTTTACTATATTAAGGAAAAATCACCGAAATTTAAAAAAAAAGCACACTTGGTAGTTGTAAACCTGACCACAAGAGGGCCAGATGTTTATAGCAAGGGAAACTGATGTTCTTTTGAGCTAATTTTGTTGCTATATTAAAATAAAAACTATGGGGTCTATTTATCATTGTTTTCACACAAGATTCACCCAACTTTCACTCACACAAATGGAATCTAATGTGAAAATGAGTGAAAAGTTGTGTGAAAACATTGATAAATAGCTACTAATCTTGGCAGTAGGCTTGTGTCTTAAAAAGTATTAATTGAAGCAAGTACTAAAATAAGCATTTATACATTTTAATAAAGGCATTAAATATAATAGATATTCTAAATATTTAGCCTTTCACAAGGCAGTGGCATGGACGTGTGCAATCTGCTTTTCCTTAGACAAATGAGGCAGTGCGAGAGTTGAATCTTTTAGGCAGCGGCCAATTAGGATTAATTTTGATTTCATTAATAGTGGTACTTTCCTGTCTAATTGGTATGAGAAATAACCTGATTGATGTATTCATAATGTATGAGAAGACTGCTGCACAACTTCATTACAAAGGAATGTTTTCAGTCTCTGCTTTGTAAACTCCACACAGCATGCCAATCGTTGTGGGTAAGTGTGGCATTTATTCCCATCAGTATTTGTTGTACATGATTTGGCTCTTCAAAAGGGCAACGGTAATGAGCAAGGGACATGCATAATAAGAACCTGCTACAGACTTTTACGCCCACACTCCATAAATGCAACAAGCATATGGACTGCTTAAATTTGACAGCCCATATAAAGATCACATTGGTTAATCAACCATTTTTTTTATATCCAGCAAGGAATGTGGGTGGCACAGGTTAACGCTATTGTTTTGTAGCCTAGGCAACCGAAAGGAAAAAAAAACAACCAAATGGCAGTTTTGTAATAAAATAACAAGTTATTTCGAACATGATGACCAGAAGTAAAATAATTGAAAAGTAAACCAGTATCAACAGTGTGAGAGCTCACAAAATTGTGCTGATCTACAGCAAAGATGCATGGAATAAGAGCTGCAAGAAATGTATTACAGTATGTTCTCATGTTCTTCTATACTGAAATGTTAGTATGGGTACATTTTGCAATTTCTCGATGATTCTCGGTTTCTAAGATTTTGGGTTTGTGAAAGCTCCCTTGGTGGCCTACTTGGTTAATGAAAGCAAACCTCTGTACTGGTATGCATGATATAATTTGAGTTCCATTTCTTTCTGCAATTTCCATTCCAGAAATCCCTTAATCCATCAATGCCATTCATGGCATTTGGAATCAGCGGCATATCAGCAGGAATCCTGAGTCTGTTACTGCCAGAAACACTTAATAAGCCAATTGCAGAGTGCATTGAAGACCTACAGCCTCATGCATACCAATTGTTAAACAAGGTAAGACATCAACTGATAGAAAGAATGGTGCATTATCACGACGGCTTGACATGTATCTGGTGTCATTTCAGTACTTCTCCTATACAGCCTGCTGTGTCTACATCTCTAACAACACCAGCTCTCTGTTTTAAATTCACAGCTCCAACCTAAATAGTTTTATTGTTTTCGGTGCATTATTCTTGGAATAGATTACTATGCCTGAAGAGAACTTTGTACTTAAATACTTACTTTAAAAGAGAATAAAAGTTCAGATCCACTATTTTCATGTATATTTGGCAAGCTTTGTAATTGGTTTATAATATAGTTGCTTATTTTGGTTATTCTTATGTTGCATTAGCATTTTATAATATATTATAATTGCTAAATATTAAATATATTTAAATGTATAGCTTCCCGTTTATAGAGATTCATGTTTGTCCTAAAATTTTGTTCTTTGAACAAAAGTATAATGAACAGAAGTATAATATTTTTTTTTTGCAAGATGTAAACAATTTTCCATGATCATAATTATAGGCAAAAGTAAATAAGTATACACATCTGTTAAAGTTTACTGGACACTATTCTAAAGAATGAGAATTAAACGGTAACATCACCCTGATCTTAAAAATGACAATATAGGCACCTTCAGACATGTTTAGTAATGGCAATCTACAAACACATACCTATAGATGATTGCTGGCTTTTTATTCTTTGCTTGCCTTACTCTGCTGAGATCTCGCAAGATTTAGTGACATTTCCTAGGAAGACAGTGGTGATGTAGCAGTCCCAGGATGCATCTGTTAGGCCTGGGTTACATCACTAGTGCCTCAGTCAAACAGTGCAAAAACAGTAATTGTAAGTAAAAGCAAAAAATGTTTAAGGAATGTAAGATGATTTCATATGAGCATGCAGAACTGTATGCTGATGTGATTTTTTTCTGGAGGTAAAGTTCTGCTTTCATATACACAGCCTGCTGTCAGTACACTCTTACTGTGTTTTTACAGCTTAGACCGCAGAGCTTGACAATTGTGAAATTTAGATTACGCTCATCTGTTTCCTTTACTGCTAACTCATATCTAGTATAGTACGTGGTATCTAAAAACTGGTAATGATAGTTTTGTTTGGTGTGAGAAAGTGTTCGATTTTTATTGCAATTTGTGTCAGTGTTGTCGGGATTTCCACTCACTTCCTGTCCCAGAGGTGCCATAGGCAGTATGAGAAAATCTGTTTAGTTTGCAATCATTTTTATAATGTTTCCAACAAACAAAGACCAACAAGCAATAACAACAGTGCCATTCACTTTGGCATACAAAAAAAAAAAGCAAATGTTGGGTTCGGTCGCACCTCCAGAGAAGGACTATCGATTAAGACATGCATTTTGCCAATTAATATAGTCAATACCTATAACAACATTACCTTACCTACCTTTTTCATTCAGTACACAAATTACAAAGTGTTACTCCCAACTTCAACAACATTCTAAAATGAATGCGGCCTTCCACTCCAAGGGCCTCCCAAACACAACAAGGAAATCTGTTCAACCACTTCGGGTCCAAATTTTAATGTTGGTTTTTAAATAACTAGTACAGTGTTTCTTAAACTGAGTTAGGACCCGAAATGGATGATGTGATGGTCGCCACATGACTATGTAGTAAACGTAGTCTAGTTGGTCCAAGCACAAAATCAGTGGTGAATGATATGTGCACACTTTATCTGTGTTTCAAATTCTATACTAAAATGTTCTTAGCTGCAGTCTATAAGCAATGTGGTTAAAGCATCACAGAGAGCATGCCATTTCTCTATAATAAAAACAAGACATTTTTCTGCACATGACACCACCACCCCTTTCAAAACCTGTGAAGCATATAAACTAATATGACTGAAAGCACAAGCATGTATAGGGGACTAGAGTGCATGCATGGCAGGAAACAGAGGGAATTAGACAAGGTTGTGAGATAAGGAGATCCCAGTAATAGTTGAAAACTTAAAAAAGGAAATATTAAGAAGAATTTTGCTCTCTCTGCTTTACTATAGCTTACAGAAATGGTGCAAACGCAAATAGCCTGATACAGCCGGTTTCCCTGCAGAAAGAGTTAAAACTGAAAGATTGAGCGCCGACTTAATCTGCTGGTTGGAGTGTTGTGCGCGCTCCATGCTCTTTTTCCTGCCATTCAGCTTGGAGGAAACAACATGCTGCTGCTCCTGCTTTGGAGGAGGGAAAAGTAGAACTCTGATCTCCTACTATAGCCCATCTACAGTGACCTTGATCACCTCCGGCCTTCAGACCTCCATCAGCCACCGGCTGCTTGGGTTTGTGTGTACCTAAGGCCTTGCCCTGTACCCTTTGCTTAGTTGCATATTACTCCGACATGGTTGCAAAATATCGGCATCTAGACACAGAGGGGACAGTTCTGCTCTAATGGGTAACCCCAGCTTAAACTCTCCTAACTGTTCTGGGGAGAAGTATTGTTTAAGGGAACTGATGTCTGCAGTCTGGAGCCCTGTGACACTATGGTTAGATGGTCTACTTCATTGGAGTCCACCTTGGCTCTGTCAGGTGAGATAGAATTTCCTGCCTTGTAGTCAGGAGCCTCTACTGCAGTCACACTTTGTGGACAAATTCACGCAGTTCCTTGCAGATACTCACTGCAGAGGCTTTACGTGTGCTTTTGCTCTTCCCTTGCCACCATCATGACATTAATTTGTGAAACGGTAGCAGAATGGGTCAAATTCTTTAGCTGCTTGCTGTCCAGCCATTGTAATTAACCGGGAGTACTGCTCGCATTTGAGGGCAGGTGGACTTTTTAAATGTGTTTTCATGCTCATGCTCCCCCTGGAGTGGGAAACGTGGAACATTTATTACAGCTGGTGATAGCTGTTATATACAAGCATTTGGACCGCTATAGAGCTTCCCAGTCGCTTGTACAGTGCTGTGGACTGTGGAAGTGTGCTGGATAGCCCCCTATGTGATGGCAATAAACTAAAGTGTTGAAAAAAATGTTTACAAATTAAAGTCACATCTAAAACAAAAAAAAAATAAAAAACACAAAGTCCCTGCAAAGTGGGTATGGTAGTTTTTTTGCAACTTCACAGGGACATGCAATTTTAAGGCTTCACAGGTTTGCTATCTTCTTACCCGTGACCAAATAAATGTAGCAGAATATATTTCATCCATCTGAGAACGGGAGTCCTTCCTATGTCAGGAGAGTTAATCGGGTTCTGGTTGTGGATAGTACTGTGGGTCTCAGTTTTACCCATGGTGAACATCTTGGGTGAGCCACTGGAAATCACTGAAATCATTCTTTCCAACTGGTAGCTTTTGAGCATTGAGGAGAGGTTCACACACCATGGTGCATCTTATACCCTGCATTGCAAATAAAGGACGTCGGAGGAGGGCCCCATGTTACCCATAAGCTGTCTGCAAGCGGAACAAACTAGTGTCCTTCAGCAGATGTCCTTTGAAATGTACAGGGAATGCCCTAATTACTTTGTGGACTTGGCCGATTCCCAGCTTCATGAAGGTATCTCTAGCACGCTTCATTGCTTTGGGTTCAGTCAGGTGAATATTCTTTGCTGTCCTAGTAAGATGCCTGTCCTCTTGTTCTAGAGATGCTGATGCTTTGCTGGATTTGGGGAGTCAGGAGCATACTTACCGTAGTCCTGTGACTTTTTATCAAAAAGCTTACCCCAGAGGTGCCTCGTGCATACTGGTGGCTGTGTCTAGTTCATTTTCAGCTCCATCAGGATTGTAACCTATTGCACTAGTTCTGGTTAAGTTCTAACTTCCTCTCCTGCCTATCTTTGTTCAGATGCTTCCCCTGCAGCTTGCCCCTTCAGTCATGCTGACTTTGTGGGTCTTTCCTGGACTTAGAAGTCAATTGTACACCTATTGCAGGTTGTGGTTCTAGTCAAATTCAGGATTGTCCCTGGTGAGTCATCTTTGGGAGGTAATTATCTGGTTTCCCCAACATCTTGTGGAATGGAATTCTCATTATTGACCCCCAAGGGGTCAAGTGTTTACAGGCTTAGGGTCTTTCTATTAGGCTGGCTGGTCCTGCTCTGCTAGGAGTTTTTTCTAGGTCTCTTTTGTGGTAACTGTTTCTACCAGAGACTTGTTCTCTTTCCTTGTTTACCATATTTGGTTATCAGTTTATTGTCCTACCTCTTGGTGGGCTCCTGTTCTCCAGCTTCTCACTTGGTCTGTGGTTCGGTACTCCCTTCCATGTTCGGTCATTCCTCTTTCGTTGGTGATCATGTTTTTTTAGTTTCTGGCATTAGGTTGCGTCTCCATGTGCTCCCTCTGGACAAGTTCCCCTATCCAGCAGGGGGTTTCAACCTAATCTGGCGTCCATTTCAGCACTGGGACTTTTGGCGGCTCTTGGGCTTCAGGCAGTCTCTAGTACTTTTTCCATTGTATCTGTGAACTTGTTGCTGGTTGCACACCCCTGAGTTAAACTGATTTTGGATGTCCTAACAGTAAATTATTGGTGTCCCTCAATGGACTGCTCACCATAAAATCCTTTTCGTGGAGCCCATTGAGGGACACAGGTGTCTCACCCCTTTCAGTTATTGGTTACGCTCTTGGTACTCCTTGCTACAAACTGAGGCTTGCTAGGTTGAAAAGGGGGTTATCCTGGGCTGGGCTACACATATTTTTGTCATATGTTTGCCAGTGTCCAAATCCTTTTTAAGTGGCAGTATAGCCTGCCAGTATAGGACTTCCTGCGTCTCAATGGATTTTACAAGGGTTTCACAAAATTCCTATTATTCTCCCCACTCTGACAACTAGTTAGACTTTAGTTTTCTAAAAGATGAATTGTGATTACCATGGATTTGTGCACTTTGCACATTGCTCTTGCCTTGTTATAAAAAGTTTCTCTAGTGACTTGTTGTTTATGTTATTAGGGATTACTATGACCAGTCCTGAGTGAGTAATGTCATGAAATGGCAGCTCAAAGCACACTATAATCAGAAAACAGCAGGCTAAACATTCAATGGCTAGGAAGGTGTTAACGTACAGA